GGCTAGCAAGCCCTGCTTGCTGACGCGAGCAGTTTCCAACTACTCTTGTCGACCACTAGAATATACTGCCATAGTGTACAACTCTTACTAGTTAAATATTTCACTGTGGAAAATAAGACTTCACATTTGAAACGCTCAACCTTAGTTTGTTAAAAAATAACTCAAATGTCAACTTAAATACTGACAGTATCCGAATGGGTCACGGGATAATAATTAGTGTGGCCGTCTGATCCTGCGTGAATTGGACATAATTCACTTATCAGATGTACAATTTGGTAACTAAACAAAATAATGCATCAGTGTATACGCTGTAATGCAGTGTAATTTACTGTCAAATGTTTGAAGCGGTTTAACTAGTGAAGGTTTTACTAATTTAAGAAATAAAAAAAACCCCGTCTAGCTTGCTAACTGGTGAGGCTGGTGACTCCACTCTGAATGAAACAACCTCATCGTTACTGAAACTTTGAAGCACAGAAAAAATAAAATTATTCTGTGTAGGAATAGGGGACGACGAATGAAACCGGATATTGAAAGCCATCGGGAAGCCAGTCGACCAATGTCTTCTATGTAAGCAAAATTAAACATAGGGACGTCTCTAAGTGATGTTGGTTTGTGATAAAATCTACCTTGAAATTAACTATGCTTCCAAAGTGTCTAGTGGAATAAATTGATTAGAAAGCGGATATATACCTTTATTTGGTCAACTTATTTCATACTGATAATATTCGATTTCACCATACATGTCTTGATGACAAACGGAATGAAAAAGATAAATAGAAGGACTTTGGAAATAAAACTGGAAAATATATATCTTGTCTTTCATGGCTAACCAGTCGTTACCCGATAAAAAATTATTTTATTTTTTTAACTTGTCTACTCTAGACTCTTTGGATATGACACTGGATTTGCTACTACCCTATGTGCTTTGAAGTCTATCGTCATGAAATATAGTAGATAGTTCCTTAGAGGCTTCATATTTGTCTTAAGGCGAAAATTTGTAAACTTCAAAAATTCAGATGAGTTGCTCATATTTCCTTGTAAGTTACTGACATAGTATCCATTTCATTATTTCTCCTACTAAGAATAAACAACTCTTATTCTAACTGTGTTTTGTGGGGATTTAAATTAATTCCCGTGTAGAATTCGTGATGAATCAACACCAGTTAGACAAGCCTTGGAAACTAGGGGTCACTGGAAAAACGTTTCGTTCTATTTTGAACATGAACTGATTTCAGCTAGAGAACCATTGGAAATTGGAGAGTACTGGACAGCTGTTTAGTTCTCGTTTTGGACCATTTAGCTGTACGTACCCAGGACTGCTGATAACAACTTCATACTAGAAATTTAGACTACTTCATCCTGTAGCCCATCATTAGTGAGCACAACATGAATTTTCAAGCGTTGTTTCTCAGCGATGGGATTGATTTCAAGTTTGTTCTCTGTAAACTAACAATATAACGAAGCAGCTTCCTGGTTTTAAAGGCTTTTCCAACTGATGTTGATTTGTCACGACACCTACCTTAAAATTCTTGCTCTATTTGCCTTTAAACCAAGGACCCTTTGCATTAGCTACCAATAAAAAGACCGTTATATATATATATATAAACTATGTATTTAAAAAATATATGTGCTTATCATTTGTTTATTATAATTTGTGAAGACGTCTTATTTGCTTTAATGTAAGATAATGGTGGGGTAATTTTTCTCCCTTCCCTTTTTCTTGCTGATCTTGTGTATGTGCACATATGCATAGCACAATTATAAACATATAGATGGTGAAAAGGAGAGAAGGAAGAAAAATAGGCAGAAGTGGAAGATAGTCCCCATTTCCTGAAACTGTAGGCAAGACATTTTAAGATGAGTTTTGCAGTAATATTTAAACAACAGTTATTTCTCTCTCTCTCTCTCTCTATATATATATATATATATATATGATAAATAATTGACTAACAGTATAAACGCCACACGTGCGTACACTGGAGAAGCATGCAAACAGATTTAACAAAGTTGTCCAGTATGTTATTTGAAAATAATACAGTAAACACTTCCACTAAAAATTCCCCAACTTTACTAATAAATCATGAACAACATAATAATGATAATAATCAAAAAAGTAATTTGATAGTTAACAAACTTATAATGGCAACAATATCAGACACAGAAAAATTAAGTAAGAGGTCAAGTAAGTTGCTATAAAAATTTCAAATCTTGTAACTTGAATAATTGTGGTTCTGTTTTGTACTATAACTTTAAATTTCTTCATGTTTAACGGTAAACTTCGCTTAGAAAGCATCACTTAAATGATCCTAGCCTTATGACTCAAACTGATAAAGTAAACGTAATTAAAGAGAATAACTGAACCATGCGAATCGAATCTTATAGTGATTCAGATCACCCATCTTTAGTATAAATAATTATAAGTTAGACTACTAGTCTTAACAGCATTATTTTTAACACACAACCAGTACAAAAAGATTTCAGCCCTTTTTCTCAAGGGAAATTCATGAATATTTCCACGAGGCAAGATAGAGCAAATATGAAATGTAATAGAATATTATGGGACAGTTTATTTTCAGCTGCTGACTTCCTGAAAGCGAAGTAGCTGTGTAGAAATAAAAAATCATAAGGAAGAGTAAAAATGCTGAAAATAGGAAATTCAGAATATCGAAAGAGTAATTATGAAAATTTTTGAGTAAAACCGTAGTCGATTTTGTATGGACTAAAAATACAAGGATCAAGGAATGTTACAGGTTGAGAGAAAACAAGCAAACTACAACTAGCACTGGCAAAAGAAACTGAGTAAAATTTGAAGAAACTGAAGTTTTCAAGTTTAAAATAAACTTGATTAGTTAAAATCAGTAAAGCACTTAAATAAGAAACTGCAAAGTTAATTCAAACGAAAGTCCTACTGAGAGTAATTTTTGCAAGTGCTTTCACAAAGCGTAGTCATTCTTGTGCCTTCTGTATATTTAGTGTTTTAAACAACTTTTAATGTTAACAAGTTATCCTGCGTCTGGCTATTACACTCCGAACATTCTCCTACCTTTAAGCATAAACCTCTTGGGATGTGCTCAAAAACTGATGGCATCCTATGTCTCAATCCTTCTAATGCATGATGATGATTTGGCAATGAAATTTAAGTAGTAGCTCTTTTGATTTGCTGGATTTTAGATAACTTAGTTGATAGCACTTTGTGTGCTATCGTTTCAACCACCAAAGAAATGTTATTTACATTCTTTTATAATTACTGTAACTTTGGACTGTCACTAGCTGATGGAAACCTACCAAATAAAGTGTTTTTAGTCTGCAGATTTGGCCTGTTTTGCATTTTTGAAACTTATCAAGAGAACTGCACATACCAGACTTATAAGTACTTTGCAGAAGTCAAAAATTTCGACAATGACCAGCAGATTTATTTTGTTATTTGTTGACTTTCATAATTGCGTTTTAGACAGTTGATTGGATGAATTACTTATAAGCACTTCCATACATCAACTGTGTCTTAGTATTTCCAAATATTAGTAATCTGTATTTGAAGTTTCAACGGCTTCAACTCACATTTATCCCATACACCACTTGTGTCTTATTCAGATGTTTGGACGTTACAAAGAAATGGTAACGGAATATGTCGGTGGTTTAACGTCATCTGACTGTTGATATATTATTGGATGAATTTACCACCCCTGTGAACACATCGACGACAAAGTTGAAATTTCAATCTTATTCATTATCGGAACTTTGAGTCCTTTCGTATGATTTTATATTTGGTTGAATATTCATTCTTTAATAATGTAATGTAGGTATATTCAGATTCATAGGTTTTACAATTATAAAAAGGGATATACAAGGAAAAGAACATACTTTAAACCTAATGATGCATTCCATGTGTTGTTATCATTAAAAACTACTTAAGTTGTTGAAATGCCACCAAGTCATAATTCCTGTAAAAAGATACCACTCCTCCTGGGATTAATTCTTACAAATTCTGAATTCTAAATAGTGAATCACAACTCTTGACGAAATAAACTAATGCATAAATAAATAGTCATTTATTACATTCTGGAAGCCGTAACAAATAAAATTAATGTCATTCACATTTGTACACTTACCTGTCTCTACTTTCATCTAGAATTTATACTCTGATTCATTTCTTGTCATGTTAATGGGATTAAGTAAGTAAATTGTCCAGGTTGTTACTGGTTGTTCCGCGTCTTTGTTAACATAATTATTGTGAGCAAATTTTGTTCTGACACGAATTTATAGTACACCACATTAAATTTAAAAAGGGCCAGTGTGTTAATATCGATCCACGAAAAATAATGTATTTATCATATTATATGAGAAGACACTGGTTTCGAAAAACCCTTTGTGACGTGTTTGAAGTGTAAAAGCTGCTGGCTTCCTTTCCTCATTAGCAGAATGAAGAACTGTTAAAAAAGTAACTGTATTATAGAAATGCCAATTTAAGAAACTACGATTACTGAGCTGCTATGCAATCAAACAACAATAATAAGACCAGGGAATCTTCAGACACATCTAATTCTTACATATGGTTTGGGTTATTTGAAGAAGTCCTCATTCATTTTTGTTCAGAACTTTACCACTGACTAAGTAATAAGTATTTGAAGATACTGAAAAAGAACTCTTTCGACTTTTAAACTTCTTAGAAAAGTGCATCGTTTGTAACATAAGAGAGTAATTTGGGATTCTCGATAAATTATAAATAGAAATCTATAAATGAATATTAAATTAACTTAGCAAAAGGAGGTAAAAGAAAAAAGCTTCTCCTTTTGCCACGTGAACTTCCTCTGTTATCTTCAAATTAAGTTTATCTTGTGAAGATTAAATACTGTACAGTCAACAGATTTAATGGGACTCATCAATGTTACACTATTTTCTCATGATCAGTTAGAAGTAAATGAGAATTTTTATCCGCTAACTTACCAGGACTATATTAGTCTTTTATGGTTTACCTCTAAGTCTTGGTATAGCGTCAACAAATGACTAGGATAGATAACTCCATTACTCAATTAGTTAGATTGTTTTATCTGTATTTTCTTCCATTTCGTGAAAGTAATTTTGATTTAAAAATCTTTATACCATTTCGAATATTTTATGAGTAGAATACAGTTCATCGTCAAATGTACTAACTAATTCAACACTAAAAAGTAACATTTGTGCTTCACCAGTAGAATTCAAAGATGCAATTGGTCGAACAAAATTTCAAATGGAGCAAACTCAAGAAAGCAATCAACATCAATGTTTTAAAGTGAATGAAAATACACAGAGTTTATCGTTTGATTCTGTTAGTAATCCAAATATTGAATATTCGCTAATGAATAAACCACCCCTCAATAATTATGAGAAAGTTCAGCCCAATGATTGGACTCATTATGGAAGCACATTACGGACAAATGAGAAACAAGCTTTACCTATCTATGAATTAGCATCATTCCCTTACCACTGTCATAACCATCGAACAGTTCATCGTCAACCAAATGAAAATTTCCCACGTAATCCACATAACCATATTCATTCAACCTATTCATTTCATATTTCAGATGAGTACAACGAATCAGATGCAGAAGTGAATTTTCTTTTAGTTACCTCTAATAAGCAGAAAACAAACACTGACAATATTCCTAGTACTAATTTAATCAATACAAACAGTAGCAGTAATAATAGTAACAGTAATTTAGGTAAAAGATCAAAAAGAGCAAGAACAGCCTATACTCAAACACAATTATTAGAGCTAGAAAAAGAATTCTGGTACAGTCAATATCTCTGTCGGCCTCGCCGGATTGAAATAGCTTCAGCACTTAAACTATCAGAAAAGCAAATCAAAGTGAGTAGAATTATTTTCATTGAGTCAGCGTAAATACCTTAATTTTGTATGCGTATCCACAGTAATCTGCTGCTGAAACACTTATTCACTTAACTTTAAAAGAATGAAAAAAAAATAAGAAAGTGTAATCAGACCAACAATTTTGATAAGAATCGTTAGATGAATATTCCATAAATCTGATATTTTTGTTCAATTTACACCTATATAAGTATTTGAACAAGTTCTTTTCAGTCGAAAAATCTATGCATAAACGTAAAAATGCTACAAAACTGACAAGATGTACACCCCATACAACACAAATGACTTGCCGTCTTGGAATATTAAAACAAAAATTGTATCTCGATTTGTTAGAATAGCTGTTATTCAGAATTTCTCAAGGCAGAATTTCACAGTTTATCCTTGTTACTTAATGAGATCAGTCTCTTAATGCATATTTCTGCCCTATACAGACGCCTCCGTATTGTCTGACATATTTTGAATTTTAGGGGCTGACACTGTTCGTATTCTACCAGTGTCAGCTAGAATTCTCCCTAGTCTTCAAGTAAACATAATGAATATTCGCTAGAGTTCAAAAGCAATGCAGTTTCATTTAACTAAGTCTAAACTCCTGAATTACCTTAAATGAATTTGTAGAGATTAATCTAAAATCTATTGAAGCCATTTAGCTAACAAAGCTAAAAGGAGTGATTAATTAATGTAAAACATTTGTCAGCTTAGAATACACGATAAAATAAATTCTCTTGACTTACTTGGTTTCCAACATCATAAAACTCAGATTTTATTAATGGAATCAAAAGTCTGGTAATAAATATATATCTATACAAATGAACTATTTCACATCCAAACTTCTCTAATAAGACAGAACACTAAATCTTTAATTTTGAGCATCTACTCTGCTCGTAATTAAAGCACTCTGGATGTCTCGGTAAAATTAGTGTTCATAATTTGAGAAGAATACAGTTAATATTAGGGAAAGTACTGTTAGTAAAAGTTTTTAATCTGCATTATGCAAACACCACCAGTGACTTCTGAACATCCTTTTAATTGCTCTTAGTATCCTCAAATCGAATGATAAAAAAATATCGTGTTCAAGAGAACAAGGGCAGAAATGAAGATATGCCATCACATCAACCGTTTTGTTAAATTCTGACTTATTTTTCTGTGGTGTTTCTCTTCTGAATGCGAAAGGGTTTCTCAGAAGTCATAATATTATCTTATTCTGTCTTAAACCAGTTACCTGCAGGAGAATAATGGGTTTGTAACTAGAGTTAGGGGCCAACAAAAGCTTGCTTTTACACCTATGAATTAGGTTTCACTGTATTATGGAAGAATAAACAGAATTCTCGCATCTATTTAGACATGTTATTTCAATAACACATTTGTATTAAACTAATAGAATAAAGTAGTGCTAGGATGAGGTTGACCACTGCCAGAATACTAGCTGGGTTATGAAACTCTTATTACATACAATCGAATAATAAGAGCTATATTAATTTTAAATTGTGTGATATCATTTAATTCAGTATTCTTATGTCATGTCACTGATTTTAATACTGAAAGTCAGAGAGTTTCCTAATTCTCAGTGTGCAGAAAGAACAAACCTCAGGACTGCCAGAATGGACAAAATTAAACATGCTGTCGGCAGCATGAAGTTGAAATTTAAGGGTATCCCTATTAACTTATTTTCCGAAAACACTTTTTGAATTACAACTTAAACACCATGATATATTTCGATGTTTAGTCAATCATTCATCCATATTTCGTAAATATACATAAACAGTAGAACAATCAATACTACAAGGCTACCTACTATTACCGATGATATTCGCCATTGTGGTGGACTGGATTATGTGGAAGACTCTGTGTGAGAAGCGAGACGACAGGAACCTATCGGACCGATAAGAAGACTCTAGAAGATTTGGACTACGCGGATGATTTGTGTCTAATATCGCACAAACTCGAAGACCTAAAGGCGAAAACCAACAAGTTGGCAGAAGAAGTGGCGAAGAAGAGTCTTCAAGTGAACATAGAGTAGACGAGTGTGATGGAAATTACCAAACACCACCACCAACACCAACAACAACAACCACAACAACAACAACAGCAAGCACCGACCATTACCAACAGCAGGAATCTAGAGGAAGTCAACTCTTCCACTTATCTAAGCAGCGTCGTTCCAACTACAGCCAATCGGCTCGGATGAGGATGTTGAAACCAGAGTCAGAAAGGCAAGACAGACCTTCATCACTCTGAAACCAGTTTGAAAATCTTCTCAACTCAGCGTGAAGAACGAAATTCGGATTTTCAACGCCAATGTTGGATCACTTCTTCTATACGCGTCAGAAACAATGGCGAGTCACGAGAAGTATTTCCAACAGGCCGTAGACTTTTATCAACAACTGCCTTCTCTGACTCCGTTTCGAAGATCAGATGGTCAGAAAGTATTAGCAGTGAGAAACTCTGAGAATAAACAAGCCGACAAATATGCGGGCAAAATAGAGATGGGTCGGACATGCGCTGAGGTGACCATGAAATTACATGACTCCAGCCCATTGCTCGAGGGAAACCCTAATGTGGAACGACGAGTTGGGCGTCCGAAGTTGATATGGAGGAGATCGTGTGAGGAGTAGATGAGTGACTATGGGCAATCGTGGGGCCAGCTGAAGAGGCTTTCATAGTGGAGGACAAATTGGAAACGCTCTGTTGAATCCCCATGTTCCACTGTGAACGTAGTGGAAGAATAATAATAGAACTATGTGGTAAATCTGGCTATATATTTTGGATTTTCATTCTAATTTTGTAGACATTGTTTTGGGACGAGAATTTATTAGCCTACTCTAATTTCTAAGAAAAGAAAAAGTAACGCTGATAGCATGAGTAAGTAGAATAGTAACTGAGATAACAGAATTAGTTGAATTAAAAAATTTTTCAGTTGATATTCCATAGACAGCATAATAACGAATTCTGTAAGTAAATTTCAGGAAAAGGAAATGTACGATAAAATTCACTTAACAGCAAAACTACATAAACACACTTCTTAAAAGTCTAAACCGAAAGCCAAAGATCTTGAATACAACTTGAACAGCAAATAAGGTTTTCTGTTACTGGAGTAGATTTTCATGTATAATATTTGACTTTTTTCGAAACTGTTAGCATGTAGGCGAAGATATTTGGATACATGCCGATTACAGATTTGATTAAGAAAGAATCACTCAAATACATTAGTACTGAAGAGTCAGATAAATATTTTCTGGTCAAATCACTCATTCTGAATGGAAATGATCGGGTGTATACACAGAATGATTCATATTAGAAGGTACTATACCCAAAACTGGTGGTTTACGTAACCAAACTAGAAAAACCTAGAATTAAAGGAAACAGTTCACAAAAAGTGTGACATCACTACTTGCTAGTTAATTATGAAATCTAAGTTTAACCTCCTTATTTTTACTTCATGTGGTTTTGGTGAAATTTACGATATCCACAAGACCAGACGTTGTACTGCATATACTTTGGTCAGAAAACAAAATCATTAATTGAATTTATCATATGCATTTCAGTTAATGTTGTTATTTTTACATAGGCTGCTAATCATACAAATACTTTGTTCAATTCTGACATATGGTTTAATTTTGTTCTTCAGCATAATTTGTATGAAAAGTGTCAGAGAATAACGGTACAGTTTTCTATCTATAATTCTAGGTTAAAATCATCTTAAGATAAGGTTACAGGCTTTCATATTGATAAAACATGTTCAAAGAGTTGCACTAGTAGCATAACTGTTTGTATCAGGTATTCAATGATCTAAGTGGAAATCGTACATAAATAAAGTGGTACATTTTATTTTCCAGGTTTGGTTTCAAAATCGTCGTATGAAATTTAAACGTCAAAAACATTCAGAAAGCGCATATTTATCTACAAATTTTGAAACAACAGATATGCAAAATTTATTTACACGATCAAGATTTTCAACACCATGTCAGTATTCAGTCAGTGGAATCGGTGTATCATCAGAAAGCAGATCATCCTTATGGTTTAATCCTAACTCTCAAATTCATTCACATAATTCTTGTAGATATTTGAAAAGTAATGATGAAACAACTGAAGAATGTGCCACAGAAACATATTCAAATAAGTTAAATAGTGAAACTGTTTCACTAAATAGGGAAATACATAAAACAGCTACACTAATAAGTAATAGTTATCCATGCCGAAGTAATATACAATTTCCAAGTGATTCTAACATCAGTCATGCAAATGAGTCTGGCAGTAGGTGTTGTATCAATGGTATCTCATTGCCGATTGATACTTGCTCTTCTTATTATAATGATATATGTCCAAAAACATTTCATAGTGAAGAATACCATTCAAGAAATCAGTCTCCTTATGCAAAACATGAAGATAAACAATTGCATAAACATAAAAATGAAACAGAAATGAATCCCTACATCACTCAGAATTTCTTCCAACAGTATCCATGTAATTACGAAAATCACTTGTCAGAATTCAGCCTGTCTGGAGGAACATTATCTAGAGATGAGGAATTTAGTTCAAATAACTGAAAAGTACAACTGAATATAGGGTAAAAGTTGTTGAAAAGAAGAAATACCTATTTAACATTCAGCCAATTACGTATTATTAACACAGAAAGACTAGAAAATTAAAAGGAATTCATACAATATAAAGATGCATGTCATTTACGATAGTCATTTTTCTTGTAGTGATCCCATATGAATCTCTTCAAGAAACGATCTGCTGGTAATCAGCCTTAATAGTAAAATACCTGACCATAAATTCAACACTGTGAAAGCAATTTATGATAATACATTGAGTTTTTAAACGAACTTCTGTTCATTTTTCCTCCCTTTCCTCATTGTTTTTCAATGAATGTTTAGATGATGTTTAACTGTGATGGCCAGTTGATTTATCAGCTTAAGTAAATATACCCGTTCACTTCATACAGCTGGGAGTCAACACTTCATAGGTTATTAATTTACTTGCATCACAGTAAAAAAACCATATTTAATGATATACTATAAATCTTCCACAATAATTCCTCAATGGTCATCATGTCATTTAATTTCTTCTCAAACCTACAGATTAATTTCTAATTATTGGAATGACAACAACTGCTTACTGCTCAAATCACAAAGCCCGAAAATCTGTACTTCTTACTTACAGTCTTTATTTTTTGTGTTTCATGACAAGATAACCAGATGAGGTGACAATTAAAAATGTAACGTTTTGAAGCAGTTTTTCGTAACCGTATTTGAATATCTGATGTATTCTGCTACCATTATAAATTATAAATCCTCTCCATTAAGTCATATTTTAACTTATCAACATGTAAATAATGTGCCTATTAGTTATTGTAATGATTTTGTTATGTGGCCGAGTGCTCCTTGGTTTTTAATGATTCTCTAAATGATGTCAGCTGGTGATGAAATTTACATTGAAAACATGTGTCAACAGTCTTTTATTTACTAATTAATAGATCTCCAGCTAAATAAGGGAAATACCATCAAGGTTACAGGTAACACTTCAGCATTTATAAAGTTCTATCTTTCACAACTGCGACAAAATCAAATTTAAACATTGTAGCAACTTACACACTCGAATTGTTTATTTATATAGATCTAACCTTGTGCTAACTAACTGCTTTGAATGATTTCACGCTAGTAACAGTAGCTATTAAGAATGAGATAGAAAAAAATTATGGTGGTAACTATTTAATATCCATTATCATATGAATAAGAAAACTACGTATTTTTACACGGAACACACTTCAAACATTCCGATCACAAATGTACTTGTCACATATATTTGTGTAAAAGGCAACAGAGCATAAAGGCATAGAGCTTTTATCACTATTAGTCAAAATGTTTACAAGTCATGATCACAGATGAAATGCAGAAAATGAAGTATGAAGATAAAGGAAGAAAAGCAGGAGTGAAAACATTATCAAGTTAAATGATCCTTGGCTCTAAAATCATGGTTGTATACTGCACTGCATACACTTTGGTTGTAAAAAAAATCATTAACTCAATTTCTCTTATGCACTCCGTATTTAAAAGGACGCAAAAGATTTTCAGGATTTCCCTTTTTTGTATACTTTATGTGTATATATCAGACTTATATACACTACAACTACATTTCAGTAAACGGCACTTTTATCTAACGACTCGAACTTTTTATTACAGACACAAAAATGATATTTTTTATTACTTACGTTCTGAGTGGAGCAAACGGCTTTAAACTTTTGAAATTTTAGTAGCCGCGGTATTGTGCTTTTGGGTTTGGGCTGCCAACCTCACACCCAACATTTTCTTTTTTGTGGGTTTACCATCGACTATGCGGTTTAGGCGTGTATCAGCCGAGGATCAAACCAGAACGTCCTGTCTGGGTGGTGAAAATTCCATCACTGAACCACTGACGCGCTCAGTGGTAGAAATGATATGTGGTTAGTAATTAGTGGATTATGAACACATTAATGAATTTAACACAGTTAGTTCCCTTTATGAATTTAGATAAAGCAATAAAAAGGCGAATTTTGTCTGAATCGTGTAACGTATTTGGGCAACTTAGGAATATTCCTATGACAAGTCCGTGTGTGATCAGATTGTTCGAAATGTGTTGCGCAAATACATTATACGATTTAAACAAATTACGTCTTCTTATTGCTTTATCTACATTTATGAATATTAGTGATAAAATACCAACAAAATCAAGTCTTTGATAAATCAATTACCGATAAGTTGTAATCATCTATTTTATTTAAAATCAGCTCAACTTTAAAAACGCCAAGTGGTGTGCACAACTGAATAAATCCATTACTGAACTAATGCTTTGTCTTTTATCTGCGGACAACGGAAACACACTGAGCATGACAAATATTTTGAAATGCCTAGTTTTACGGTTTTAATCAACATCAAGTATGTCTCAGTGGCGTTGGTGGTTCGGCGGTAGAACGCTCGCCAACCATGCATTTGGTCCGAGGTTCGATCCTCGGAAGAAGCTCTCCTGAAACCTTTCTAAGCAGAGAGTAAGGCCGGTAAAGAGGGGAGGTTGGGCGTGAAGCCAGGAACCCCACCCCACAAAGAAAATGAATACACTGCTACTGAAACTTCAAAGCTCCAGCTTGAAGCCCTACGTTCCATTCAGAACGTGAAGGAATAGAATAACAATAATAGTAAAAATATATCTCGAAGAAATAAGGTCTAGTGTAAAAACCAAATATACTCAGATAATATTTTTCGAAGAAGCACCATAGTATTGATAAATAAATAAATTTAAAAGTTTAAAAAATAAAAAAATAATAAATAGATAAAATTATCTTCATTACAAGACAATTGACAATGGACCATTGGATCGGGTCTATGAGCTCGCCTTGTAACCAGAAGGTCCTGGTTTCGAACACCAGCGGGTGCGTACTGTGAAGAGTCCCAAACTAGAGCGAAACAGCTGTCCAGTACTCCCAGGTGGTTTTCCAATGGTCCTCTAACTGATGTCAGCTCATGATGAAATCCTATAACCAATCAGTCAAATCCCTACAAACCAATACCTCAATAACAATGAACTTCTCTTATGTGATTGCATAATGTTTTAAAGCAATATTAATTGACTTCGATGGATCAAAAGACTTAGAATTATAGTTTCAAAGATGAAAGAAGTGGAGGAAATACAAAGATTCGGAAAAGTTCAAATATTGCTGTACTGCTTTCGACTAGAGCTAAAATAATGGCATATATCAAGAAAGCAGGGGAATGCTAATTATTAAGAGTTTCGACGAAGAAAGACCAGATTTGTAGTATAAAAATTATAGAAAATCAAAACAAGTGATTCAGCGAAGAGACTCTTTTCAACGAATTTATTATCAAGTTGTACAACAGTATATATATGGTTTTTAAGAAGTTATATCCGGTGAGGGAATTAATTCATAGGTATGAGTGCATATATATCCTGTAATTGCACACCCCTTCCAAGTTCTATCCATCCTATGAATTATTCTATATATGACATTAATTGTTTTGCCACTTGACATTTAACTATGATTGTAATGAGAAATACTTTAATTGCATTTCATACTACTATTATTATTTTATGCATTCACACTTATGATTCAATTCCCTCACCAGATAAACTTCTTAAAAACCATATATATATATATATATATACGACTGTAAAACTTGATAATAAATTCGTTGAAAAGAGTCTCCTCGCTGAATCCCTTGTTTTGATTTTCTGTATATTACAATTGGAATTTTCCATGAAGTATAAAATTATGTCATTCTAATTTACAGGCTCTCATCAGTGGCAAACTACCTGAAATTAAAATGGTTATAAAAATTGCAATAGCATACTTCACTGTTTGAATGGTAGAGGAGAAAACATAAAATTAACGTATCTGAAATAAAAGTAAAACAGTTTTTAGTTTAATTTACCATCAGTTTGTATGCTTTGAATATTAAAAAGAAGAAGACAGAAAATTGGAAAATTTAATAAGCGAACAGTGTTAACTCGTAGGTTCATATAGCTCATAAGATTGAAATCACTAATATGGATGACTAATCAATGTAATAAAAATGCAGTTAGTAAGGGAGTGAGAGATTGATTACACTCTCTTTTTGTATGCACTAGTTTGATTTGAGACATTGATTGCAATCACTTCAGCAAATCGTGGCAAACTTGCTGTCTTTTGTATGTTCAATATTTTGAAGGATTTGGAAATCTTGATGAAATGACCCATATCCACAAGGTGTTTGGTAATTGTACTTGCGAATATCTGCTTTCTTGTAGAGATAAGTATCTTGCGATGTGCTCAGAAAACCGGATAGAAGCGCTTCTTTCTTTTCTTTCAGCTATCTCGTGCGAACAAGTGCGTGTGAATTTATAAACTCAGGTGGAGATTAGCTTACATTGCATGAAATGTTGTATGGTGTTACGAGCTTAGCTGCAGGAAAGCACTCCTTTATTGCTCCATCCATTCCCTTGTCAATCTTTCGTGATCCTGCTTCTCCTCTGAATGGGAGACAAGTGAACACTTTATTCTACTCTACAATTGGGTGTTTCGTTTTCTCGTTCTTTTCTTTGCTATACTTTTGGATACCCATTTTCCTCTAGAAATTTTTCAACAAAGCTTAGTTCTTCTTCCACCATGTCAGGCGAACATAACTTCCTGGCTCTTTCATACAATATCCATACTAATCCACGTTTACAGAAACTGTTGTAGTGCAGATATTTTCCGGTCCAGGTTTCTTTTCTGTCAATGGATTTTTCGACCATATAACCATTTCTCTTTCTTACATTACGGTCCATGAAATTGAACACATCGTTATGTTTATATTTCATGGTAAATTTAATATTTTGGTGGGTTTCATTGAGGCGGTCAAATAATAAAGACGCGTGATTCATATCGTTACAAACAACAGACGTATTGTCAACATAGTGGCGATAGAAGGTTGTTACTCTGATAGCAGAACTCAGTCGCGTCTGTTCGAGATAACCCATAAAGATATTGGCCAAAATGGATGCTAGGGGTGAAATCATAGCAACCACATCAGTATTTTGGTAAACTTGGCTGTTAAATTTCTATTATATGTGTTTTGTTCAGAGAAGTAGTAGACGCCCCATCTCTATTTAGGATGATGGTGATGCATGTGTTTGCTTGCAAATGATATCAATTGTAACCATCACTGGTATATTTGCAAATAAGGCGACCACATCGTACGATGCCATAAGTTTATTTGATATACTGACATGGTCCACTTCTTTGGAAAATTGATAGGTGTCTTTCAAGCTATGAATTGCAAAATTATTTTGAATGGGCTCAAAAGAATCATCTAACCATCGAGCTAGCTTGTTTTATGGTGAGTTGATCATTTATAATATTAGCCTTAAGGGTTTTCGGTAGACTGTACGTAAACAGGAGGCATCCACCTTCCAGCCTCAGCTAATCCTATGTCTCGTCGTGGATCAGTTTCTTCATAAGGGGTTCTTTCAGACATTCATTTACTTCATT